ACGAGAATTTATCGAAAACAAACGTATGTTCGCCAATTTATCTTCTGAAATGTTCAATGGGAATTTTCGCAAAATTAAAATATGACTCGAATTTCATTGTCATCAAAGATTATCCTAGTTCGATTTTCCGGTTGCATCGTCAAGTATCCAGAAGGAAAAGGATCGGATAACTGCCTCCTCTTTATTCACCGACTCCGACGGTTCGGTCAGGCGATAGATCAAACCAACGCGGAAATGGTGGAATGTGCCATATTGGCATGAAAACGGCCTCGGTCGCTGGCAACGGCACCAAGATTACCAAACCCGGAAGTGTGCAAAGAGACAAATGTCGAAGTTAATGGGCATCCCCGGCCTTGTAGTCGATAGTGCGATTTACATCTTTTCAGCCAGCCTCCGACCGGTCACCAGGATGGTCATTTATTCGTGATGCAGACAGCCAACAGAACTTGGCCGACTGATTCTGTCATGATTAATAACCCCACAAGACCGGAAGGAAAGACCTATGGTGCGCACGTACGCATTTTTAGGGGGAGAATCAAACTGCAATCAAATGCCTGCCAAAGGTAGCAGTATTTCAGAGAGAAAGCGAGACAAATACACAAAGTAGAGCGCTTACTGAAAGCAATTTCCACACCGTAGACCGAACAGAATGGGGTATTCCTGACCAGGCGAGCTGACGTAAAGCCTCTACAGAAGAAGTAAAAAAAGATAAAACTTAACAGATAAAAGTTTATTCGAGGTCTAGCAGAGTTAAGTGGATGAAATACACGCAGTAGGTGAGCTATCTCATTAAATGTTAAACGAAATTGGGAAATAAACTTTTTATTCGAGAAGGTAACTTAAATAGCGTTGTAGTATTTACTATCATGCAGCATACTTTCCGGATAGTTCAGGATGCCGGCTTTCGAACGCTTCGAAAAACTACACTCTGTAAAAAATGACTACTTACGTAGTATGCATGGTTATTATCGGTGCCCCTATAAATTTCGATATTGCACAAAACATGGGTGCAAATACTATTTATTGCAGTTATTTGATGATAAATTAGACCTTCTTTACATTTTAGACCTGAAGGATAGCTTTCAGTCTTAAAAATCTTCGCTGTTGGCGAGTTCTTTTTGACCAGACCTGTCGTTGCATTGCATTCAAGGTTTCCAAACGACATTTTTGTATATCCCGGGAAAATTCACACATTTCACTATGTTATGACGAAGACGTCATATAGCGCTTATGAAAATTTGCAGTGGACGTGGGCCACGCTGTATATTTCATAATAAAACGTTAATGAGTGCATGAACACGATGGTTTATTGGTAGACATTGCACTATATTTAAAAAAATTTCATCAGAGATTATTTTGAAAATCGAAACTTGAAGATGTACTTTGCTAAAAAATTACTACAACAAAGACCATTTTCGTGCATGTTTTTATCAGGACCTCTGAGGTAAATGAGAAACTGTCTACTACGTCTAAGTGGGCATTTTTACAGGATGCAGTTCTTCCAGGCGATCGGAAAGAAAGCTGGCAATTTAAAATGACTGAACTGCCGTGGGATACTGATGCACGATAATAAATATTGCAACCCTATTTAAACCATTTTGGCGAATCGAAAATATATTGCAGAATTTCGGTTAGTATTTCATGATGGCAAATTTGGTGCGCAATAGAGGCAGCAAGTCGATAAGCACGTTTCCAAATAGTTCGACATGCGTTCGAACAAAGAGCTGAATATGATACTGACCCCATTTATTTATGATAGGCTGGTTGGCTTTCCAGTTAGTTGCCTAATCAACACGCACGAAAAGCTTACTGCTTAAGAAACGTGTATTTCCCTATTCAATCTCATCGGAGTTCCCGGAAGAGAAGCACAGGAAGTCTCTATTACATCCATACTAGGGAAAATTACGACTTTTTAAAGTGTCGGACCGGAAGTCAGGGCTTAATTCAGTTTCAAAAGGATTTTTATTATGAATATTGTGAATGTTGCACCTACTGCCCACGCTACTTTCAAAAAACGCAAATTAATCCATCTCCATTGAATGAGTAACCGTGTGCCTCTTCATTGGAGGAAGCACTATAGTAAGAGTGCTTTATGTTATACGAGAATATGCAAACTTTAAAAAAATACTTCACGTAGTAAATGCCAAGTAATATGGTGTCCTCCAACCAGCTCAGACGCCAGTATGCGAAAATGTGCGACGGTCAAGACACCTGCAAGAAAATTAGAGAGAAGGCGAAAACTTTACTTCAGACATCATTCTCGGATTGTATGTACCCACAGTAGCTTGGTACAGTTCCGGTATGCCTCCTCTAGCTAACCCCGATGATGTTGTGAACTGTGCATTACGATCTGCGACCGCTCGACCCCATTTTCTGTTCCGGCAACAAAGGCATCATACAGGGGGGGGTTAAACAAACATATCAAGCCACGTTTCAGATTGCCTTGTGAACATTCAATTTACGATGGAAGAGTAAGAAAAGGACAAGCAGCTGGCCGCAAAAGCATTGTGGTGGCTAAAAATCCAAAACTTTCAGGAAAGCGGCAAACATGACGCGAGTGCTGAACTCTAAGGGGAACCATTCACAACACACAGTTGTCTAAGGTCGCGTAACCGGCGCGTTCAGACTCAGTGTAATGACACCGAGGACAAAGTGGCTGAATTACAATATACCTTCTACGGGTACTCAGAGCGAATGGCTACCCGCGCAAATCTGTCAACCGGGGAC